AAGTTTCCTAAGTGGCATTACCTCTTCCTTTATTGTAAACTATGTAAAATTCAAAGTATCTTTTTTTTCAATAAATTTAAAAAAAAATTTTAAATTTATCCTACTAGTAATCAAAAAAATAAAGGAAGTATGAATCAATTAATCCTTATATATAGGAAAATCAACATGAAAAGAATATTTATGAAAGCAGAATGAAACAGATTTTCGAAGAGAAATATCTTATTAGTATTAAAAAAAACAAAAAAACAAAATTAATCCTAGCACTGTCAAATACTCATCAAATCAGTTTGAAAGAATATAGCTCTTACTTGTACAGAAATAAAAACGATTTTGAAAATCTGTAAGACTAATTTAAAAGGAAACTGATGGCGCATTTTCCATTTTGTTATTGGATCCATGAAAAAAAATTGCAAATGTCGACGTAGACGTTCGCCATCTTTACGATTTGATGCTGATAAAGTTTCCAGGATATCTTGTTGCATCCTGTAAAAACAATTTTACCTGTCTTATTCGCAAATTTTGCCCGAAATTTTGATGCCACTTGAAAATAAATTTGTAACTTAAACAGTTCATTTGTTATCTCCTATTAATGAGGCTAGAATAATAATTACAAAACATGGTAAGAAAAAGCAATTTCTCACTGACTAAAAAAGTGTTATATATTGACCTATATTAAGCAGAAAGGATATTAGTTGATAATTTGACTAAGTAATCAATATTTAAATAGTGCCAAATATTGATATCAAAAAAGATGCTTTCAATTAAAGTATGACTTCAACTATTATCCTTAAATATAGTTAAATTTTTATCCCACAAAGAAATATTTGAGATTAACAAAAAATGAACCTAAATTAAACTTATTTCTGCATTTCTTCAAATTCTTTCCTTTTCCTACCTTTTAGTATCTCTAATTACCATTAATTAAAATTTTTTTTTTTTCATTATACAAAAAATAACCGATCAAATTCAGCCGATGATGGTTGCATATCGTTAAAACTGTCACCGGTTACCTGTCGTCCTTCATGCATCTGCAAAATATCGAATGACACAAAAGACATTATTAAGGGATAAACAATCGAGTAACTGAGAAGAGAACACGAAAAAGAAAAATGTAATTACACCATTCGGAGCATTGACCAGATGAGCAATTATATTCAAATTAAACAATTTATTTTCAGATTCTAAAAGTCTGATTGTTAAATTCAAGATATTAAAATGATTAGTAAAATTTAAACTCTTTTTTTAGAATGACTAATCCTAAATTTCGAGAAATAATTACAGGATTAAGGAGATAAAATAATTGAGAGTTGTATGGGGAAATGAAAGTCATTTAAAAATAATGAAATTTCTAAATACGAATTTCCAAGCGAAAAAAAAAATTTTATCCAAACCATTTGGTTGCTTCTCAATAATTCAATCAAATTAGATGAAGAAAAGAGTAAATAATACAATTACTTAAAAATAAATAACTAAATTATCTTTTTTAAATACAGTATATTAGATGATGCGAAAATAATTATTTTCTTGCATTGTTCAATTTTTGTTCTTTCATATTGAAAAATATGATTGACCATATTAAATATCATTTTTATGCTCAATTCCTGTTGTTATTTTTTCTCTTCATTAAATAACTTATATTAGTTATTATTTCACAGACTAATGAAGTGGCAAAATGAGAAAGCAAATTTTTGATTTCATTTCAGAATGAGTTATGTCATAGAATAGTAAAGATAAATTGGTAATATCAACAATATGTTTAAACCAGGAAATGACAACAAATTCCATTACTACAAGAATAAACAAAGCAATTTCTTATTGAAATATCTCACTTAGTTCAACTAATACAGATGTATTAAAGAATAATTATAATAAATTCAAATTTACTCTCCAAAATGCAATTATTTTTGCAGAATAGCATCGTCACCTTTAGTATAATTTAACATCTCAATCACTTATCATATCATCATGACATTTCTACTCCATCACTAAGTGGTAGTTAATGTTGAATGATTCTGCAAAAAAAAAAAAAAAAAAGGAAAAGTTGAAATTTGAAAAATCAAAATTTATCTTACAAATATAAATCAATTCTTAATGTATTTTTGTTAATTTTTACTTCGCGTTAGTACAATTATCAAGTTCTAAGTCTACATAATTTATTTCTAGCATTACAAGTAACTGATGTAATTGTAATTCATGCCATTCGTTTTGCTAATGATTACGATAACAGTAACAATAATAACAATAACAATAACAAGACCATCTTACTTGATCAATTTCATAGAAAGAAAATTATCAAAATAAGTTGTAATTCTGTTCGATAGAAATGAATGGATGACCAGAAACAGTCTACATTATCACTACTACTAATATCATTACAATATATCTTTCTTATCATCATTTAGTCATATTGTTATCAATAAAATTTACCTACTCCCATATAAACTATCATTTCATTCTAATTTTTGTTACCGCACATTCACTGATTAAACAATTCTTTTGTTTTCATTTTTTTTCTTTCCTCTCTGCTTTTTCTCAAATATAGCTTCTTGTGAATGCAACAACAGAAAAGCATTGAGTGTTTGGCTTTTTTTTTTCTGGATTAATTCTTAATTTTTATTTTTTTACACTTTTAAATTAGTTCTTGTAAATTACAAAGTAGTGAAATGTGAGCAAAAAATTTAATGTGTTTTGATGAAATATGAAACTTTCATATAATTAAGCTAAAGACTTACTAAACTCTCCAATTTTGGAAATTTTCGATATTTTTTTTTCCTTTTAATAATATATAATAGCTATTAGCTGCTATCTTACATAAAATTATTCGATATTTTAAGTATACTATGAATATATACATATAATAACTTAAATAAAGGGTCATCATAGAGTTGATGGAATTAATCGTAAAAGCAATTAATTTCTAGCAATAGAATTTTTAATTCGCTGATGTTCCTATTTTGTTCAATATATTGTTCATTTAAGAAATTTTAGAAAGAATCAGAATAAATCGAAAGTATTCAAATTGTCATAAGCTAATAAGCTAGTAACTTTCACAAAATTATCTCAACTACATCGTTAGTTTTCAAATATTCCACACTTTCATCATATATAAAAATATTATAAAATAATATAGCATCGATCTTCTGGACCGGTCACTTATGCTATTTTATGAGATTCAACTTCTCCCCCAACTTCTGCTTTTTCTTTTTTTTTTTTTTTTTTTGCCTATTTTGTAGTCCACAAATGAAGAAACATAAATAAATAATCCCCAGGATAAATAGATCTCTAATTTCTGATAAATCAAACAAAACTATCATAAAGTTTGATAAAGCAATCAATAACGATGAGTGAACATAAAAATATGAACATAAAAACATGGAAATATTTGTACGTTCTTTCAATACCATCACACATGTATGAATAAATATATATTAAAATGATCTGAAAATAGATTTGAAAAGGAGAATGCAACTAAAATTGTTAAGGATTTTCAAATGTTTATCATAAAATGCATTCATTCATTTTCTATAGGAAGAAATGATAGATTACTCAAATTTTATTTCAGAGAAAGAAACATGGCAAAATGGCAAAAATAAGAAATGAAAATTCTATTATGTTAGGGAAGGAATGAAAAGATCGAACAAATTCTATGATATTATTCAAATATCTTGATCATTAAAACCATTCGATTATCGATTACCGAAGATAAGTTAAATAAGCACAACTAGATCCAAAACTTCCTTTCCTTCTCAGCAGTCGAAAAAAAATAATAAAAACATAAACTCATTGGCAGTAAACAAAAGTTCAGATGATGACTTCATACTGAGTCTATGTTTTAGGTAAAAAATTAAAATGAATTAGTATTATTAACAAAGGAAGTAGCTACAACTAATAATCAAAAACGTAATAACACTCAACCTAAAAAAACTAGTGCTTCCAAAAAAAAAAAATAGTTTTTACACTGAGTAACTTTTGAGAAACTTGTTTAATTAACAAAGAATATGATAAGTGGATGAGTTCTGTCCTCTAAAAAGAATTGTTATCTAGTAATAAAGCATATAAAAAATAAAACAAAATTCTAGATATATAACACCGCAAAGAGAAATACCCTGGAAAGTTACAGGATAATTTTCTCAAAATGAACGCTTCATTCCAAATTTTTCACATAGTACGTATTTATAAAAACATATCAAAAAAAGTAAGCATCAAGTTTAAGTATACAAAATTGACTTCTTTGTACAGAATGATGCAATATTTTATCTCTGCAGGTAATAAAGTAAAAAAAAAAAAATTAACTAGGATACAAATTGCACCATGGGGTCCTGAAATACATGGTTAAAATCTGGAAATGCACAAAACAATCTCAAATTAGTGACAAAGAAGTGAAACTCTCGTATCCTCTTCAGGTCATTTAATTGAAAAGCAATTATAAATACATTATAAATACAACACGACTGAAAAAAAAAAAATTGCTGTTCTAAAAGTTAGTATAATTCACTGAAATATTTACTATCTACTATGTCAAACAGTCAGAAAAAAAAAAATTACAGATAAACATACGTGAACTGAAGAAAATAAGAATGAACTCAAAGTATATTTTACAACTTGAACATAGAAATAATATAATCATGATGCCTTGAAAAATGCAATCAACAAAATATTTGACGTGATTACTTTTGATGATTTCAAATTATATGCAAACTTTGAAGAGTAATCGTTGTGTGAAAGTTTTATTACTAAGAGTAAACGGAAAAATTACAAGAGACTGGGTAATAACAAGTTAATTAACCAAGTAAATGAGTAATTAAGAGACTGCACTAAAACTTAATGAAATATACAGAAGAGTTCGATCGTCTTCCTATAAAATCTGAAGAAATATAATTAATTCTTAATTAAAGAACCATTAATAATATGAACCTTACATGTACGCAAGAACGAAGCAACTTTCTTAGATTTCCCATTCTCAACTAATAACCTCAATTATCACTAATATAGCAAAGAATTTACATGTTAATAAAATTATTTACAGAATCGCCAGCTGCAAATACTGGATCTCCCATTTTTGTAGTAAAAAAGTTCGAGTGGTTTCTTGATGAGTTGCCTTCATGGCAGAAATAGCTCAAAGCTGACCAAATGTATTCGTGATCAATTCGGGATAGAAATGTTGCGCGAAGCTAGAAATAAAATGATATAAATATAGACAAAAAAAAAGCTGATGTTTAGCTTACCTTTAACAATATTTCGATCTAAATCTCGCATAGAAACATATCATCAAAGTTGCTGTCTAGAATTCACGAATAGTATAACATTAGTAGCTTCAACATCATAACACGATTATTATGTTAATAAAATTAATCTTAACAAATTATACTAGACCGATAGATGATCTGCTATACAACATAAAATTTTATATGACTCCGTACAAAGAAACTTTATTTTCTAAGCATTTCGCTTTTTAATTTTTCATTTCATTTTCAAACATGCTTTAGAAAATCTCGATGTATCTAACTCATTAAAATTGTTTTCTATGCTTGTTTGATAAGCTGTAGATATGCGCAGTCTATCAATGAAAAAACGTGTAGATAATGACAGTTAATAAAAGTGTGCATTAAAGTTAATTTAGTGGCATACTGATTTATTTCTATTACCAATAAATTTTTAGCAGACATAAAATAGCCATTTTCAGTCATATAAAGTCAATATTCTCAATAAATCAAAAAAATAATCTCCAAAAAACAAATAAATTAATTTATTATAACTCAAAAGAGAATTTAAGCAGAAAACCTAATACTGACCTTATCTGCTGAATACTTAAAGCTAAATTGTTTCTGTAAAAAAAAAGACTTAGCGGTAAATTCAAATGTTTTAATCACAAAACAATTTTTAAAAAAACAAACGAACAAAAAGCACAACCTGCAGTTCAGCTGTACTGATCACATTTGGATGAATATTTCGAGCTAATATTGTTTCCGCGGCAAACAGAAGAGTAAAATTATTCACCGATGCTGTCATCTTTTCTTTAAGCTGAATTTAAAAAAAAAAAAATTGGTTTAAATGAAGTATTTTGAAAATTGTGCGCGTATAAATTTCAATTTTATTTAATATGATATTTTCTTTTAAAATACGATTGTAATATTTTCCAAACGCCCAATATGAGTCATAAGGATTCACTATAAAAGACTATAAAAGAAACTATCTTTTCCATTACCTTAAATAAAAAAAAATCAATTTTACAACATTATATTATCAAAATAATACATTCGTAAGTTGAACCATTAAGTCTGCATTTGCTATACCTCAATCTATTCTCTACTGTACATTCAGTTTATTTCAGTATTAGAAATAATAAATTCAACAGCAAACAGAACTTTTCTGATCAAATCTACTCAAAGTTGAAAACTGAATTAGGTCTTGCCAGCAACTGATAGAAATACTTACCGCTTCCAGAGTTTTACTTGCAGCATTCTTTAAATCGTTAATTTTTCCACCAAACAATGTTTCATCAAAACCACAGTCATAAAGGAGTTGACGCAAATTATGACCAAACCGGAACAATGATATACTAAGAACATTTGCCGCGACAGATGGATCTGGTCGCTAAAAAATGTTTCGTGATACAACTAAACTCTAATAGGTAAGCTAGTGGGATTCACATTTTAAACAGGAAGATGCATTTCAGGAAAATGCTGCTTATTAAGTGTTATTTATCAGCAGTCATGATTTTCCGTAAGTGGAAATATGATTTTCTAATTAGGCTAATTTTGTAATACATGTATTAAAATATAATACTTTATTTGGATCAATTTGTAGCATATCCCGAATAACCATTTTTACTGAACAGTCCACCTTCTTCGGCAACGGTGGCAGTTCACATTCCACATACTGATCGCTTCTCATATGATTGTAGAACGGATTTGTTCTGCAAATGATTTGAAGGTTTTATTTTGCTCTTTTAACGAAAAATTCTGAACAAATCTAAACGTTAAATTTTTAGAAAATTATGAATCCATTTGAGAAATACATTCTAAATTTGTAAATTAATTTTTGACTTCACGATGCATCAGAAATTACTTTCTACAGATTATACGAACGACAATCACCGTCGATGACAATGACCTCAGTATGCGTGGATTACTTCACTAATTTTAAAATTAAACTTTTGCCTTGTAAAAATTTCATATCCAATTGTAGCAGCAGCCCAAAGATCTGCCATATGAAAATCAACCCAACTATTGGGAGCTGGATGAGCGCAACGGATCTGGAAATTTGATATGGAGGTTTCTTACAATGAAATTTCCAAACTAATAATCAATTAAATGAAGTCAAAACTGGCGTAATAAAGTATTCTGCATATTACTGACATGGAAACTGTAAGATATTGATCTTTTTCAGAAAGAATAGAAAGTTAAGTATGGAAGAAATGACACTATATTGTAAATGTGTTAAGTTGTAAATTCTTTCTTAAGAAAACCCAACACTAAATAAATTTTTGAAGGAAAAATCAAATAACGAATAAACTATCAAAGAGTTTACTTCTGGAGCTCTTAGTGCCAAATTTCCTCCAAGATGGACCGTATCCAAGTCATAACGTACTTTCCAAGACCCTGTTGCTAATGCACAACCAAAATCGCTCAGTACCAAATGTGGTGCATCATCTAAATAAGATATTTTGTAAACATAATGAAACACGTATCTCATAACATCTGAAAGACAAGGAAAAACTTTTTGCAAGTAATTTCTAGGATATAAAAGGATATAAAAAACCATTGCTTAGAAAGATGTGAGATGCCAACTTCAAACTGAAATAAGTAAAGGAAAGAAAAATCAATGAAAACTTTGCCATCGGAATCGAAATCGAGTAGAATATTATCTGATTTTATATCGCGATGACTAATTCGATGATTATAAAGGTAAACAATTGCTTCCAGAAGTTGTCCAAACATAATCTTACCAAACCAATAATTTCTTTTATGCGTAAGTACATATTCTCGTAAAGTCATTCGATATCTGAAAACTAGAGCATTATTTTCTTAAATTTCTATTGACAGATTCCCAAAATAGGAAATGGAAGACGTTATCTAACAAATAAAAATTTTGCTCTAAATTTTTCGACTCATTACCTTCATTATAAAATAGACAAAAAGTCAAAGTGAGCAAAGGAAATACTATGTAAAAAATTATGTTAAGAACTTTAACCTACTGAAGTACCGCAAGTTATTTGCCTTCTCATAACTATAAACAGTGTTTTGGGTTCATCAACAATCAATCCATAAAAACTAGCTGTTGGCAGAGCTTCTGGATACAAACGTCGAGCATCCTCCAATATTGGCATACAGTCTGTGAATGCTTTATACATTTGCACTATATTTGGATGCCCATGCGGCAAAAAAGTCATACTGCAAAAATCTTAATTTCTATTATCCTCTAAGATGTAAAGTGTTATTACGTGACTCTAATCTTCATGTTTAGTGAAGACACAAATTTCGTAAAATCCATTTTAAAAAAAAAAGTGTAAAAACTGACTGAAAAAACATAACGTACTTGGCCATAAAACCAATCAGCTCTGGCGGTTTTTCGATCAATGGTACTAGTTCTGTACCCATATCTATCCATAGATGCCTTTCTGACGCATCAAATTCATAATTATACATCATTTTCAGTGCATATGGGTATGCCTATGTGTAACATTTTTTTATTTAAATTGAAATAAAAGAAGAAAAACTAACGAAATATATTTTGAAAAAAAAATTTTTTTCTGTTTTTAATTTGAGGAAACTAGTTCTGTCGAATTTTCAGAAACTCAATACCTCAATAAATTTGAAAAGAGAAAAAAACTAACAACAACAGGATCTTTCGTAGCCGACTGCTTCCTTTGTGAAAAAGAAGTGAAAGGTAAGTTTGCACAAATGCTAGAAGGAAGCCTTTCAGCTTTCTCTAATGTACGTATACGCGCTTCATATACAGCAGCATCACAACCGCAAGCAATATTACTACCTTGAAATGAAAACTTTGGCAATACAGATGATTGTACAATTCAAAAGAAAACTGAAAATTAGACATTCAAAATTGAATTCAACAAATGTTTTGTTTACGATTGTCAGGAGAAAAACACTCTTTTGTGTTTGAGAAAAACACCTTTCACTCTTTCAATTAGAAATATTCAACTTTCACTAGGAAAAAATGGAAAAAGGATGGATGTGAAAGAAAAAAGTGAATGATATATATTAAAGAAAAATAAAAATGGATTAGCAAGACAAAAGTTCCTACAGTCAGCTCCTTAACCTTTTCCTTCTTTCCTCTCTCTAAAAATTAACCCAAGCGATCTAATTTTTCGTTCAAGCGATTAGCGAATGGTATGGATATAAGAGTTTCTCCTTCCACTACTACCACCTATTTCATTCCAGTAGAAAAGGATATACAGCGAAGATAAGCCATTATACAGGAAGGAGAAGAGCAACATATTTAAAACTATTCCAATAATATATATTAACAGCATTTCACCTATTTCATAGTCCTCAAGCCTGTTGGGTATTTCCACAACTCGTAATCCGCTATTATACCTTGTGTTTGTTTGAAATAACTTCTGAAAATATCAGCAATTATCATTCTTTCAGTCAGTGAAACAGAAAAATGCAAAGGGTATGTACGGTGAAAAAATGTTCCGGAGAATCAGCATCAAATGAATTCTAAAAAATCTCCCTATATTATTAATAATCCTCTAACAGATAACCAGGTTTATCAACTAAATAATTTTCCTACTTCTTGATTAGCATTAATAAAAAGTGGTATCACCTTAATTCTTTCCGAAACATCAGGGTTAGAATAAATTTTCAATAGAGGTCTATTTGATCGACTGATACCCAACAAATTGTTACTTCTCCAATTCTTCTGATAACTTGTCAACGCAAGTGGTCGTATTATAATTCGCCTCCAGAGCTTAAAATAATGATATGAAACAATAGAATTCAAAAAGAAAAGATTCCAAGGTTAATTTACTCAAAAGATTCTTTCAAAAAAAATGAAATAACTCAATCACGTCCAATCTGGATTTATATATATTTATGACATTGAGATCTTTAACTAATAATAAGAATGGCAATGGCAAGTTCAATTTGAAGACCAATAATATTACAGTATTTCTCCTCTCGACATAAAGAATTCAGATACTTTTTTATTTCATCTACAATCTCTTACCCAATAATATCTACAAAGTAAACTATACTGTTTTACTTTCTTTTTGCTAAAAACAAAATTCCTCCTTCCCATCTATTCTCTTTAAATTTATAGATGCTAACAAAACTTAAAATAAAGAAGAAAGAGAGAGAAAGCAAACCGTTAAATCACGACCAAGTACTTTACTTTTTAATATCGGACGACTGTACCGCAGAATTGTAGTACTGGATCGTTTCAACAAAAATCGTAATGCAAACCAAAATTTTCGCATTTTTCAAAGATTCTAGAAAGGAAAAACACAACCAATAAGTTTAGATTCCATTAGTAAAATTATAGCACAAATCACTAAAATTTGATCAATTCTGGACACGATTTTATAAAAAAACTATAAAATGACATGCTGTATCATTCACTCCGATATATCCTAGTAGTACCAAAGTACATTAAAAATATGAATTTGGATCGCCTATGAATAACTTAATAATGCTTGTAGCTAATCGTAATTTATTTGATTAAATTTATCTATAATAGAAAGACAAGGTCAAATAAATTGTACGTATCGAAACAGATATCCGTAATTATTGAATTATCATTGAAACTGAGTAACTGTAACATATCTAGAACACGAAAAACAGATTTAATTTGAATTATTTCAAATTTTACAGAAAAAATTCGACTTTTATATTAACGAAATCAAACTTAGTCTATTAACAGAACTGAGCAGCTTGGTTTTGTTAATATAAAAATCAATCTTTTTCTCTTGCAAAGGTATTATCCTTACTTTGAGTTGATGACAATTTCATCAACAACAGATGCCTAATAGATAGAAACTTAAAAATATAAAAATTCTTTGCTTTTTCTAGTTATCTAACTTGGCTAAGAATAGTTGAAATGATTCAAAGATACTCGTAATCAATAAAGTATCATTAACCCCTATTTCAAGTACAATTGTGGAATGTGCAGTAGACTTAGTAGTGTATAAATCCAGATTTTTCACGCAAATTCAGGACTTATGATGATCTCTATACTTCTTTACATACTGCAACCAAACAAATGTGCTTTAGTCATGTACTTTTCACGTAAAATAAAATAAGTACACATTCGATACTATTTCCGTAAATACAGTAGAAAAAAGTGAGTAGTAAGCTAAGGGAATTTCAAAAAACTATCTAAATTTGTGACAAAAATGTGTACACTTGCATACTTACGTTTGGTGTTAAATAAAAGTTAAGCACCGAGAAGTGAAAGAGGACATAAAATGGTTATCGCCAGTGAGATACCGAATTGCATTACGGTATAATTGAAGTGAAGAAAGTGAGATTGGTTTGCCTTATCCTTATCGGTGATTATTCTGCTCAGAGTAGTTAACCATCATCCTCTAATGTGCCAGGGTGGTGGAGTTGTGCTAGTGGTTTTTAGTTTCGTAATTTAAAAGCTGTATTTTTTGATTTTTGTTAAATGTGTGTGTGAAGGTATTTGCTAATAAATATAGCTATAACGTTGAGTGATTACAGTATGTTTTATGTTAATTTATTGATACTATGTTATTTGGTTCTATCACTCGTGTGAAAGTTTTTTCCTATTATATTGATTCAAAGTTGTCATTCCTGTTGACAAATTGAATGTGAAACACTTCTGATCTTTCTTGCTTAGTCGCTGAAGTAATGATTCAAACAATGCTTAACTACATCTTTCATAGCTTTTTTTTTTGAACTTTCGTGTAAGAAAATATTTCCAACTTTATTCAATCACAAAATATATAATTCAAACTAGCTTAACTTTTAATAATGATAGTAATGACTTTTCATGCTTTACAGCAAAACTAAATCCAATGAGAGGCTTCATTTCTTGAATAAATAAGGATGGAATGAATTTGATTGTGTTTGGAAGAAATCATTAGATTCTTATTTCCATATCTGATTTGTTTTTCATCTCTCCATAGAAAGAGGGAGCGAGAGCGAGAGAGCAATCAGTATTCCATACATTAGGCATGTATTACTATATTTGTTACATCCAAGAAGCTAAAAACTGTGATTAAATCTTTCAAAAGCATTATTGATAACAGTAGTTCTTCAGATTTTACTTTACTAAAGTTAGTGTACTAAAACTAAAATTACTGTAGTTTCTTTTGTTAACTATGACATAAATGTATTATGTATGATATCATTTGCTTATAAAATATTTGTAAATAACATTACAAATTTTGAATTTTGGTTTTCACTTTATTTTCCTTTATATTATTCATTCTCATCAATTAAATTTCATTTTTTTTTTTTGTTATGCACGTAGATGTTTGTCTATCATTTAGATCCATTAAATCATGTCAATTTCATTTTCTTCTCAAACAGTGTTCAATTTCATTTCCTTCTACAATGTCAAATAACTTATTTACAAAGGAAATAATTTAACGGAGAAAGTTGAGAAGTTTCGATTTTTTTTTAGAGAAATAATCTTGGAATCTTGCAATGAATTAAAAGGAAGAAGAAAAAAATGATGTTAAGTTTTTTGCTGAAACTATTGTTTGGATTGTTGTTGTTATTGTAACCGTTATTATTTGAAATATTTCTATTTAACCATAAATTGGCGTATACTTTTAAATAAAGGCAAACGATTCTTATTTGTTAAACAGCTACGGATAGTTCTTTTATCAAAAATTTATTATGAGAAACAACTTCATAGACGAGAAAAGAAAACAACATGATAAAAAACAAACTTAACTTGGAGTCACATTAACTTGACATGAACGAATATTCTCCAGATTTTTTCTGTTTCATCAGAAAATTTGAATCTTCTGGAAAAAACGAGTGACTGTTTTCAAAAAAAAAAAAAAAAAGGAAAACATAAAATTGTATAATTGTTCAGTTTTTATCTATTGCTGATAATTTATTGTGTTCAACCACTTCTATCACTGAAATATGCAACTATACTTCTGTTTTGTATCAATAATGATGTAGGATCAGAAGAGTGAAATCTGGATGGTATTCTTCCAAAACTGATTGTTAAAATGTAGTGCTAGCATTTGTACCAACGTATACTGTTAATATTAAAGATGCACAATTTTAGGATAACAGTCAAAATTGTAGCAATCTGAACTTTGTGATAGTTTTTACTTTGTGATGATTTTAATGGATGATCAAATTGACACTTCCCGATAATTCTGTTTAATGAAGATTCTATAAAGACTCAAGTTTTCTTCAGCTTTACTTCCTCACTCTTTTACGTTAACTTGTCAAATAATGGAATGAATACTGAAGTCAAGTTAAATTTTAATAAATGCAAAATGTATAGAAGTGTCAAATGACAGATACAATATTGTCTACTTCATCAGAGACTATCATTGAATTGTTAGATAGCAAGAAAAGATATGGAATGTTTTTTTTTTCTCATCTCCAATGATATTTATTTATCAGTGAATTGAATGCATTCTTCTCAAAGGAATATTTGCGTTGGATCGAAATCATCTGCATAATCGAAATCATTATCTGGTTGCGATCGTTTCTGTGTCATTAGCATTGTTCCAGATAGGTAACGATCCTGTAGATGTAATAAATTGTTGCGTTAATGAAATTTTTATCCATAATGAGCTATTGAAATTTATTTCTTTTCAAATAATATAAAGCTATACATCTTGAAATTTTCAATCTTAGACAATTTATTTTGCCAGATTTAAGATTTAATCTTGATATTAGCTATTCCTAGATTAGGCTAGAAACTGTCATCGAAATATTTTATGGGGATTACTGGTCATATTTTATGAGTTGGCAAATAGCATAAATTACTTATTGCTAACTGATATAAATCCATATTTTGTCAACTAGCTTATGTTAAACAATTCATAAATTAATGGTGAGTTAAATTCTTGTGTAAAATAATAATGGTCAACATATTCTCCTCTGGAATATTCACCTAGAAATAAGATGAACCCGAGACAAATCGATTTCCTGATAAGCAGTTACATTCTGAGATCATAGCAGTGATGTAGTTGATAATTTTGACATTTGATTCTCCATTTTGCTTCCTCATATCATAATACAAATTTATGAGATTTAAAACTTTTAATTCTATAATTTTATCCTTGTTGTTTAGGTGATGACATAAAAAATGGTACGTCTCATTATTAAGAAAAAAAGTGGGTGTTTTATTTGAAGAAAAAGAACGTTAAAATAGATGCAATTAAACGATTTCGTTTAACTGCTTATAATTTCTGGAAACACTCAACTTAGAAAAAAAATTTTTAAGAAAATAATAGTTTTCCAAAAATGAGTTTAATAATAAATTCTAACAATTTTAAAAATATGTGACAAACAGGAAGGTTGAATTTTTTTTTAATGCAGATCAGCTTTATTTATCATCTACTTAGTGAATTTTAATTTTAAATTTTCACATTGAAATTTAGAAGTTAGCAAATTACTTCCGCTCATTTCGAGAAAAAATTCTATGCTTCGACCATAACAAATTTAGACGTAGATATGATCACTTTCATGACGTAGCAACCTTAAGAAGTAAAGTTAGCAAATTCCCGAAACATAATTGATCCTTTCAATTATTATGCCAGCTTGCTTGCCATCTGAATTTACAATTTCTTTGAAATGGCTAAAATATTATCTCTCTTAGCAAATTAAAATTAATTATATTAGCTAACTAGAATATCGTTGGCTAACTATCTGCATGCACTTGATATAATAGATCCTTTTGCTAATCTAATTATTATTTGTACTCTTCTCTTTTCTTTGTCGTTAATTGTTACTTTGTCACATTTCTAAGAAATTAACTGAGAGAAAATTATAAAATTGTTTATTTGTAAACAAAAACAAAAAAAAGAACAAAATAAAGGTCATTTGACTTCAATTATTTAAAATTAACTTTTAATCTTGCTTAAAATTTAATTTCAATAAAATGAAAATATGCATATGGGGTGTATCTAAGAATCACTATAATTTTTCAAAAATTTAATTTTTTAACTTCAGAAGGAACATACCGTGTGATCTATCAACACTTATTGAAAGGAATTACGTATGAAAAAATGTTTATTATTATCATTGTTCATTATTATTACTTTATTTTATTACTATTATTATTATTCATTATTATTATTATTTTACTGCTATTAATATGATTATTAATTATTATTATAACCTGCTTTTTTTTTTGCTATCCTTTTGAAATTCTGCATCAAATAAACTGTTAGCAAAGCCATTAATGCAATGAGCTAAATTAATTTTAAAGAAGAAAAAGCAGCCAAAGAAGAAATAAGAGAGATAAGCATTCTGTTGTTGCAACTAAAGCGATGAATAGTTAGTTATTTTGCGAATAATAAAACTTGAAGATGACAGATTTATAGTTAATTTATATAATTTATAGTTAGATTAGAAAATATGCAAACTATGATAAATCTATTGAAATTCTTTTCAAAATCATGAGATTATCAATTTCATTCTTCTTTTATCATCATATAAGTAATTTATTTATCCATATTCAAATTCTCATCACTTCTTTCAAGTAAAAGAACAAAATGAAAAAATTGAAATGCCGAGAAGATATTTTGAATAATTGACAAATTAAATATTTGTTTATTATTTATCTAACTTTTGTATTAAACGAAGTAAACAATATAAGTGAAAGAATGACTTTTCTTAAAATTCTCTAATTTAGCATCAATTGCTTCTGCATCAAATACGTTTTCAACTGAAATTAACCTCTACAGTATCAATTATTATCATAATATATATTTCTATCATCTATTGAATGAAATTTTACATGAAGGAAATTAATGATATTAAGTTCATTAATATTATTTCAATTTATAAATTATTTAATTATGAAAATGATGAATGGAAAAAGACGACAAACCCTATCAGCAACTGGTACAATTAATAAAGGCTGCCGTAATACTTCCCTGAATGGATGACGTTGGTGACGAAAATAAGGAACTATTACCGCTCCTATATTTTTACTATCATTCAATATTACAGCTATCAGTAATAACATATTAAAATATGCCAATATTTTATGCATTCCTGAAAAATAAAATAAAATCAATTTCAGATTTTTTTTTGTTTTTTGTTTTTGTGATAAGTTTTTCTGTTATCCAAGCATTTCCAATCGTTTTATTTTAAATTTTCAAAAATTATAAATTACGCGCAAAATATAGTGAGATAATATTAAAGAAAAACATTGGCAAATGAATAGCTATAATGAGTAAGCTACACACAGATAAACTCAATCATATAGAAAATAATAATGATCACTAGTAAATAAATAATGCAATAATGATTATTCAGAAATGAAATTGCATTATACTTCAAGAAGTTAGCAATGACTTTTCAAACTAATAAGTCACTTATCTAAATTTTTTAGCGTCACGTTAAGCTGTCACCATCATTCTATGAAAGCTAACTTTAATTAATTTTCAATTTGAAACAAAAAATATGCATTTATATAAACATACAAGCATATATATGTATGTGTGTGTGTGTGTGTATGTGTGTGTATGTGTGTATGTCTGTGAATTGCTCATTCAATATTGCTAAAGCATTAAAAACTAATTAACCGATAACATTCTATTCGTTAAATTTATTCAGTACAGATGAAATATTCGCATATAATCGTTAAATACTTTCGTTTTTTTTTTTTTATTTGAAACAATCTGCAACAAAAACAATTGCCTTATTGAAATCGAAATTGAGCGTAGGCGAAAATAAAACGAAAAAAAAAAGAGCTAAATTAACTAAGTATTAAAAGCAAAAAAATGGATAATCTATTTTAAAATGTTATAATTGCATTTAAATATATTTATTAAATTCATCAAAATCATTATAAAATCTAAAAAAAAATAATTTAATATAATTACAAAATTTTTTCTCTTTTTTCTTTACATGATAATAAGCTAAAAAATAACACTGATACAAAAAAAAAAAAAAAATATTTGAAAAAGTTTTCCTTTTTTTTCTTCGTTTACATAAAATTTAAAAAAAAAAACAATAGCATTGATTTACATATAAAAAAAGATAAATTAAAATTTTTTGAAAAGATAGGAGAAGATAATAAAAATATAGTGAACAAAGAGTATACTGCAAATGAGATAATTTCAAAAAATGTTGCACAGTTCAGTTTTCATCATTTTTTTTTTCTGGGAATAATGGTATACTGATGAATTCAAAAATAATTTTTTTATGAGATTCAATTAGATATAGCTTTACTTATTAACACAATTAATAAATATAGTATAAAATGATTACTAGTATTAATTCGGGTAATATTTCAAAAATAATCTTAAGATAATATCAATTTCATTCTCACACAGATGACAACTTATACAATAATTTCATTTAATGTCAAATAAAATATGCAAAAAAAAAAAATCATTCTGTAGATCTGTCATCTTATTATAATTATTTTAGGATAATAACTGAGAATAATTGATAAATTAGTGGATGATAAAATTGAATTCTTTTTTTAAATATTTATTGTTTAATTTTATTCTACTTTTCTTTTTTTCTTACTTATTTGAAAGAAAAAAAAAAAAAAAAAATGAATGGTTAATTACTTGAATGGAAAGATTTACTAACAATTCAGCACTGTTACATTTTTACTACTATAATTTCATATTTTATGCTTAATGAGAGCTATTTTGAGTATGGCATGAAAAAAAGTTTAGTATAAATGAGTAAAAAGGTGTAATTTGTATCTTTCTTTTGTTAGTAAAAAGCAAATACTAATTACTACTGAAAATTATATATGTTTATGTGAATAGATTAGAGGGAAGATGATGACCAGTTCACAGGAATTCATTGATCGAAAAACTCAATTATATCATAATGCATCATTGTCTTTTTTTTTTTTTTTTTCTAATATAACTTTCATCACATACTATGTTGTCACTTTGCTTATTTTTTCTATTTCATTTGAAAAAATTGTTATCAAATAGCATTAAATTAAAATCTGAGTGGTTTAAAATTTTGAATAATAGTTCAATAAAGAAGAATGAAGAGAACTGCAAAGTAATTTTTCCTTTCTCATTAACATGATAACGTCATCCATTCAATTATACCTGTTCAAAGTTAATTTTTTTTTTTTAAAGTATAGTAGAAGTTTTGCAAGAAGTTTACTAGCTAATTTAAAACACAAGTATGATTTAAATTTGCACAATACTTTATTACCAACGTTTTGTTTTACATTCGCATCACTGTCCTAGGCCGGTTTGTTGTACCTTTTGGCACAAATCGGGAATCGTTATCCAGGAATAGTTGAATTTATTTTAGTCGATTTAAAATATGAATTCAGAGACTGACTGATGTTTCAAAAAATTCTGATTAATTTATAACTTGAATTTAGTTACTCAAAATTTAATTTCATTTACCCTAACAAAGGGAAGATATGATCCTTTACTGATAATTCGTTTCATTATAAGTTAAGATCGTTTCTAAATTAAAAATTTTTTTTTCCCATCATTTTTTGTAATAAAGCATAAAAGCAAATACATTTTCATCAGGAAATTATTAAAATGCTTAAAAAGTGCACAGCCAAACGTTTGAAATCATTAAGCAAAAGTATTTTAGATAAAAATTGAAGAAATGAGCAAATGTTAATGTGAGTAATTTGAAAATGTATGTATATGTTTCACTCTAACATCCAAATAAGAAAGAAAAGAAAGATGAAATCTTCAAAATAAATGAAAACTTTATGACATGAATTTTATTTACCATGATATATGCAAAATTTTTTGAGGATGAAACCTTCAAAATTCCCAAAAATGAAAACAGAGCGCAATAAGTTGGTGATAAAAGATTTAGTAAATTCAATTTATTTAAGAAAAAAGTTAATTAAAGAATGTCATATAAAAGCGAATAGATTGCTGTCGTTAGTGTCAACGATTTATCAATTTTTTTAAAGTTATCAACCAATTACGCATTTGTAGTTGATAATTAAATATCTTAGAAGGAATACGAATTTTAAATTTTGAATTTATGCATGAATGTTACAGGGGAAAATTATTGACATTTATCAAAGAGCTTCCCTCGGTGAGGTAAAAGTACAACTTGTTATACACCTCATTATCACTTATCATCTGTATTGATAAACAGTCACCTAACGAGAACTGATATTTATTCATAATGTTAAGAACTGGGAATCGTTTATTCAATCATTTTTACAGTATTTTTTTTCGATTACTTTTAGTAATATGCAAATTTTTGCTCCTTACTATCGATCTATTGTTCCCTGATTCTTTTCAAAAGCTAATTCTATAATCAAAGTGTTGAAACCAGCCAAAATCTGTGGTCAAAGTGTCAAAACTAACAAATGTTCCCTAAAACTTCACTAGCGTTAACATTATTTTGTTAATTATACTGTTAAACAATTGGTTTAATTATTGCTTTCATAAACGGTATAATTAATACCTTAGCATGTAGAGCTAAAGGACAGAAATAGAATAAATTATTGATATTACTTCCTCAAAAGGATACGCTATTCAATGACTAGCAGAAGAAAGGAAGGAGATTAAATAAAGATGAAAAGTGTTTTGTGATCATCTAAGAATTATTTCATTAAACAACAGCTAAATTAAAAGAGCAAGCTAAAAGAAAAAGAAAATAATCTTTTAAAAACTTTAAATTCCCAGTTGAAATTTTTGAATTTTCAAGGAAAAAAGAGCAATGTAAAGTTTATAGTTCTCTCAACAAATTTCATTTTCATTTCTTGTGTTAATTAAACCAGAAACTCCCAACATGTTGAACATTCAACAGCAGTTGTAAAGGGTCATCAAAATTCTATAATTAAAACTCTTTATACATTAGAACGAAAAAAAAAAGAAAAAAAAAAAAACATTAATGCGACAAATGAGCACAGCAATTGCATTCGTTTCGCTGTGGCAAATATTAGATTTTTGTCAAAACATTTTTGTTTATAATTGTAACAAATTAAAACTATTCTTATCCACTGAAATAAGAGAAATATTTTAAAACTACTGAATTTTTCTTTCTGATTTTCTCTTAAGATTTCGGGTTTAGATCTAATGGCAAATTCAATTGTGAACAATTCATTTGTTGCCCAACAGAAGCGAATTGATTAGTAAGAATTTCATCTTAATTTTGAAATTCCAATTTTTATGTTAAGATTTGCAAAATTAAATTGAAAATAATTTCAAGCATGATTTTAGAAAAGCATATGATACGATACAATTGCAACAATTTTCCAGGAAGAAGAAATGAAATAATATTTAACAAATTTTTCAATTTGTTTCAATTCATGATGCAACATTGGAACATTGAGTAGTACCGTAAACTGGAAGCAACCGGATTTTACGAAGAAAAAAGCTTGTAACAGGGGAAATAAATAAATATCTCTGTTAGATTAGGAGCGAAGTAATACAAAAAAGCAGGAAGTAATTCAATCAGGTAATTTCAGTATTCACTATCTAGCGATTTTAAGATAGAGACGAAGAGATTACTCATCTTTTTCCATAAAATGTCCACAGAGTTTCTGAATTTGAAAAATCTAGGTGCTCAACAAAATTTCAAACGACAGAATGATGATTCGTAATTTTTTTTGCGCAAGTCATTTCTGTTAAAATTTTGTTCAAAATTTTGCTTTAAATGAACCGTTCATATGTGTCCCATTTAGGAAACTTCAGGCTAAGGGGATCACAAATCAAGTTGTGACAAGTCATTAACGTTGTCCACAATTAAAAGACACTAACTGCTAGTATGTAATATGTCACGATATACTCCATAATATTTTATACCTATCACTTTCCCTTTCCATGAAATATGTTCCACCAAATACTTCATAAATTTCATTGCAATTAATTTTAAGATTTTAATGTTATTAATTTTTAATGTTGCTAAATAAATTCTTTTTTTAGCATTTAGAGGTTCTATCAGCAGCAAATTTCAGAACTGGATTTTGACCGATGTGTTTCGAATATAGCAATACAGTCATTTAATATGTCACCCACTGAAGATTCATTGTCCACTTTCCTTATCTCTGGA